TCCCCTCCTCCCTCCTCCCTCCTCCCTCCTCCCTCCTCCCTCCTCCCTCTCCCTCTCCCTCTCCCTCGCCTCGCGGACTCTATGGCCTCCTAGGAGGGTTTAAAGGACCCACCCCCCGTATCACCCAATAAGTTTCTTGGGAACAGGGGTGATCGGTCGACAGCCACTGACCGCACAATGCAGCGCGTGAGGAAGAATGCAGCAGTTCTGATATGAAGGGAAGACGGAGGGAGAAGAGAAAGAAGAGAAGAAAGAAGAGACGGGGAAGAGGAGGAGAGGAGGAGAGAGGAATGTAGAAGATTAAGAAAAGACAAAGCAAGAAGAAAAAATGGAACGAGGGCGAGCACATGGATACAAGAGAGGCACAGAGATCTTGTCAGTAAGAGGAGCTGAGAAGAGGAGGGGAGGGGAAGGCGAGGATGAGGAATATTAAACAAAATAAGAGGAGGAGCGACAGGCAACAGCATTCAGGAAACAAGGAAGAAGAACCAGAGGTGGCTGAAAAAGAAAATTGGTTGGTGGAACTGCAATGAGCGAATGTAAGGTATTCTGGCGAGGAAGAATGGAACTGCAATGAGCGAATGTAAGGTATTCTGGCGAGGAAGAATCGGCCAATAGACACTGGCTCTGAAGAGATAAAGTGAAGATGGGATGTTTGTGAGGACGAGGACGATGATGTTGAGATTAGCATTGTGGATGATTGCTGTAGGGCGACGAATATGACAGCTGCGATCTTCAGGGCGAGCATGTCTGTCAAGGAGATCTATCTTTTGAGCATCAAGGGAGGCTCGAGGTTCACAAGGCGTAGGCTTGGCGTGTGAGGTCTGACGTGGGTCAGGATCGGCCTTGTGGCTGAGCTAACGGACGTCATGGGCCCTTACGATGTCAACATCCTCGACGTCGGGCAAGCCGGTAGAGCTTCTGCATGTGTGGCTGGGGGTGAGGGTGCGAGCAGAAATTCATGACATGCTGTCCATCGGAATGCTCGTGGAGGTGACGAGCACGTGAGAAGACCGCGAGACTGACCCTGCCTGCCTCAGGTCACCAAGGAGAACTCTCAGAAAGTGTTCAAGGATTTGGTTTTCCTGTCGCATCACCTTGGAATTCAAGGCATGTCGTCATCACCCTCCTTCCACGCTCACTGCGTGCCTTGCTTGCAGTGAGCTTCACGCCGGTGTCGAGCATGGAGTATGAGCGATGGTGAGGGTGAAGTGGAGAAGATATCCATCTGACTATAAGTAGGGTGACCATGCAGTCAAGAGGGCGATACACTGTGACGGTAAGGAGCGAGACGAGGAGGAGAAACCGAGCAGAAGAAGACGAGGAGGTGAAGGTCGCTCAGGTTCTCTCAAGGAGGCTCAACTCGCGTCACTTACATCTCGGTCACCTACGTGTTCTTCTGAGCTTTTTTGACGTCCCTGCAGTCTCCAAGATCTTGTCAGACCATGGGATGAATGTCGATCAGATTGTCCGCTTGTCCGACCTGGTCTGTGTGACGACGACCGTCACCGAGCTGTGACGCTATTCGCAGATGTCGTTGAGGGACTCAAACCTTAAAGTTTCGCGTTCTGCCTTTCAGGTCTGTTGGTGTTGGTGAAGTTTTCGAGTGACGGTCTGACCGCTTGTCCTCCCTCGTCTTGTCGTCGTGTCTCGTTAGCTGCAAGTGAGTGGGAAGCCGAGAAGCGTCGGCGCTCTGCGGGAGGAACTCTTCAAAGTCACCTGCTTCCTCGGCCAGCGTCCTGTGGGCTCACGTCAAAGCAGGTTTCCCTCCAAGAGCCCATAGATGTGGCGGTGCAAGAAGACGATCTTTTCCGTCGCAACAGGAAACTGCCTCTGACTGGATGTTGGGGTTTTGATACGCGCTGAGCAGGCGCCTCATACTCTTCGACATGGACTCCACGCTCATCCAGGCATCCCTCCACTCCTCCTCCTTTTCTTCTGCTTCCTCACCTTGTGGCAGTGCGAAGTCATCGACGAGCTTGCGAAGCATGCGCAGGTGCTTGAGGATAACGTGAGAGGAAGAATACCAATATGAGCAGGTTGGAGAAGAAGTGGCGAAAATCACTGAAGCAGCAATGAGAGGAGAGATTGACTTCAAGGTTGGATACTGAACGCTGCAAGCAGCACGAGTCATCTTACACAGGAGTCGTTCCGGAGGAGGATGAAGCTGCTCAAGGGGATGGACGAGTCTGTCCTGGAAGGAATCGCTGACAGGTCTCGTCCTCTCGCCCTCCATGTGGCTGGGCTCTCACTCGCTTGCAGTCTTCCCATCACCGAAGGGGCTCCTCGTCTCATCGCGAACCTCAAGATGTATCTCCGTCTCCTCCGCGTTCTCATCTCATTGTCTCCTTCAGGCTCGGCTACAAAGTCGGCATCCTTTCAGGCGGCTTCACATACTTCGCCCAGAAACTGCAGAAGGAGGTAAAAGCTCAGCTGATGGCCAGCAGTAGGCTTGATGAGAGGCGAGGCATTGACCTCTTAACCTCGTAGCTCGGGATCGACTACGTGTATGCAAATCAGCTTGACTTCAAGGACGGGAAGCTGACGGGCGAAGTCTGAAGCCAACTCTAGAGCTCCTTTCTTACCTGCAGCAGGTGAAGGGCGAGATAGTGGACGCTCAGAGAAAGGCAGAGCTGCTCAAGTACATTGCACAGCAGGAGGGACTGTCACTGAAGCAGGTAACGATCTCTCTGTCCCGTGTCCCACTACCGTTACTTCACATCTGCTTTCTCGGTTTCCCTGACGAGATTTGTGTCTCTTTCCTGCCTTGTCAGGTCATCGCGGTTGGTGACGGCGCCAACGATATTCCCATGCTCAAGCTCGCGGGTAGGAGGAGGACATAGCGAAGGACTTGGACGTGAGACTGCTGCAGGGCTCGGAGTCGCGTTTCATGCGAAGCCCAAGGTGAAGGAGCAGGCGCAGGTTGGCATCAGCACGCTGGGGCTCGACGGAATCCTCTACCTGCTCGGGATTCGCGACAGTGAAGCTAGCACTAAGGTGAAGCAGGAGATTCTCTATCATATCAAGAGGAGGCGAGGCATTGACGGGACAAGCACAGGGCAAAACGAGACTGCCGGAAGCTCCGGTTCCCTTTTCTCGTCTATGACGGGATAAACTGTATTCTTTTTGTGGTTTCAAGGAAGAAAGAGAGGCAGAGCCTTCTCTTGTCTCATCTCAGCTCAAGTTGCTTCACACCCAGGGGCCTCTCACTTCTCGTCTTGAGATTTGCCTGAAGGAAAGCAGAAAGCCGTCATTCCTTTCAACCCTCTCGTGTATCCCCGCACCTTTGTTCCTCTTCGCCATGATCTTCTTGACATCTTCAGCTGTCAAACCCCCCGACTGCCAAGCGGATGGTCAGTGACATCAAGGAGGCAATTGGACTGACAGATTCAGGCCTCTTGTAGTCCATGGGCATGTCGTTCTTGCCAAACAACACTTCATCCAACACCTGAAAAAGAACACACGCACGTCATCGGGAGAGAAGGGCAGTGACAGCCAAGCGGGAAGAGATTCTGCAACATGGACCTGTCCTCGTCGGTTGTAGGATCGCCCAGCCTTCTCGCAGGTTGGGCAAGGACGGAAGGCTTTGATCGGCCACCACGCAAGTCCTGGAAGGGTCGCAAGTCCTCCCTGAATCCTTCCTGTACCTCCGCACTCCGGGCAGTCGTACTCGCCTCCCTCCTTGGCCCCTTTCCTCCACTCTTCCGACGCAAGGGTGCTGACCGACTGGGTGATCCATTCTTTATCAAAGAAAGCTTGCCCATCCACATTCACGGGGTCTGCTCTCCTTCTGGCTTCTGCCGGCGACCTCCCAACCTTGGAGATTTCTTTCATATCCCCAACATTGTTGTCTTTTTCTTCAATCATTTCTGACCCTGCACTGATCGCTTCAATGCTCTCTTGACTACTTTGCTTCTTCTGAGCTCCGAATCCCTCTCCTGCCATGCAAAGAGCAACTTGCCTTGATGCTTGGCATGACCTAGCAAGGCTGACAGAAGAGAAGGCGCTTGCAGAATGGAGGAGGAAGCAGAAGAGGAGAGCAAGGATGCCCAAGGTGTCAACCGCTTTCAACATGCTCGCGTCTCCCTTTCTTCTCCTCCCTCTTACCCTTCCATGGAGGCCACTGCACCTTAGAACCCTTGGCGGTTACAGAGTAACTGCTGGGGTGTAATCGTTTCTCTGAGGAGGCCCGAGTGGACTCAGAAAGATAGGCATCTGAGGGGGGCACGGACTAGATAGGCATCTGAGGGGGGCACGGACTAGATAGGCATCTGAGGGGGGCACGGACCGTACTAGGCTGAGGGGGCCCGGGCACGGACTAGATAGGCATCTGAGGGGGGCACGGACTACTAGGCCCTGAGGGGGGCACGGACTAGATAGGTATCTGAGGGGGGCACGGACTACGAAACAGAAGCATCTGAGGGGGGCACAGACTACGATACACTCGGAGCATCTGAGGGGGGCACCGTGACGGACGGCGGACTAATCTGACTCTGTGAGGGGGGCACGGACTACGATACGCCGGGAGCTGAGCACTCCCCCCTGGGGCCCGGGGCAGGGACTCTACATCAGGGGGCACCGGGTGACTACCCGGTACATAAGCATCCTGATCTGAGGGGGGCACGGACTGGGCCCGGACTACCGAGCATCTGAGGGGCCCGGCACGGACTAACTAGTAAATCGGAGCGGCATCTGACTCGGGGGGCACGGACTACATAGGCATCTCGTTTACTCGGCTTGCCGTCAGGTCTGGGTCGTGGAACTTGCGAAGCTTCTCGAGAGGTTTCCGATCAAGCCTACGTCATCATCACAGCCCGAGTCAGCGCCCCGCCTCAGCTGCCCCGCCTCAGCTGCCCCGCCTCAGCTGCCCCGCCTCAGCTCACCTCCTCTCGCTCGTTTCTTGAGCTCCAGGCTGATGGAGAAGTTGCTCATGAACTTCTCGACCGACTGGAGTCACCGGCGTCAGTTGCCGTCAGCAGGCAGCACCAACTTGACTCTCACCAACGTGTGTTGCCGCACAGGCTTGCGCTGACTGCCTGTCATGACAAGAGACTCTCGTCCTTCACCGCTCCCGCGATTTCTGGACTCATTCTTCTCAACCTGTTGAAGCACGAGTAGGTGCCCTTCACTCCCCTCCTCCCCTCGCTCTTCGCTGACTTCCCTCAATATTCTCTCACACGGTCATCGCTTTCCTATCTCCCTCTCATTTTTTTTAGCTCCAACGCCGTCCCCCTGCCTCCCTCCCCTCGTATCGACCTCCCTCAAAAAATCCTTCCCTCTTTGTCTTCCATTCATCGCTCACCTTGACGGTGTCGGCCTGCATCAGCGTCAGCTCAGCGAGTCTCCTACGGTCAATCCGCAAGTCCACCTGCAAGCCGCGTGAGTCTGAGAAAGCAGTAGGCAAATTTACCATCACGCAGGGAGAAGGGAAGGAGGACGAGGAGCTGTCAGTATCTCGCTGTTGTCCTGCGAGCAACAAGCCAAGGTTCCCAAAAGCAAAACCAGAACTTGCAGAGTCTGCAGCACGAGCAGAAGACCTCATGGACATGCTGAACAGGTGCGTTAGAGGAGAGAGAAGTTAAAGAGAAAGGAAAACCTCATCGGCCGACCACTTGATTTTGGCAGAACAAGCTTGGAACTTTTTGAAGACTTTGAGGCTTTCAAGTCTTTGAGTTGTTGGCTCCATAATCGCTTTTGTTTCTGGTCGACCTAAAGGATGAATCAGTCGGCTGTCTACCTCTCTTTCTCTGATTCCTCTTCGATCAGACGTGCATTGTCTTCAACTGCTACTGATGTGCTCACAATCAAGACCATCTGCGACATCTCTCAAACGATTCCCCCACGCATGTCCAGCTGCTGCCTGCAGAACAAGAAGAGAGATTTCTTCCTCGACTTGCTCGGAACTCGCCCCAGCACTTGCCGTCTGCTCGCGCATCGCGTCGTCGACGAACTTTTGGAACCGCATCTTGAAGGCCCTCGAGGAATCGCCTGCGTGACTAGCTGAGGCTCAGCCGTCGCATCCGCAGCAGCCACCTGGGATGTCGCCCCCCGCAGTTGAAGACGCCGGAGAACTTCCTGTAGCGCTCAAGCTCAAGAAGCTGCAGGCCAGGATGGACCGGTCAACCTGTCCGGGGAAGGGAACCTTTCGCCCTTGTAGGGCTCCCGCTCGTGCTCGGTCTGGCAGCAGCTTCCAATAGCCTTCCGTTAGCAGTTGTAGAGGTGAAAGAGGAGGAAAAGGAGAGAGGATGTGAAAGACGTCGTGAGGACAAGACAAGCGAGTCCCTCTCATCCTGTGGTCGAATTTCGCAGCTGCTCGAAGAAACCTCGTCTTGAGTCTTCAATGCTGGACCAGATGTGTCGTCTCCGAACTTTCTGATCAACGCTTTTGCCTGCTCTTTCATATCTTCGGGCACGTCCTCAAGGCATGATTGCAGCTATCTCATCATGTCAGATTGCCTTCACGGCTCAACCAGCTCACCTCCACGCAGAGAAGCTTGAGATTCGTGGCGGCACTGCCAGATAGCCATGGTTTTGAGTTCCCGCCTACAGGCACGAGCGGAAAAATCGCTGAAGCTGCTGCTGCTCGCACGTCTTTGTCGCAGTCCTGTAGGGCTTTCTTAAGCACCTGGAATGCGTTGCCATCGCCAGGCTTGCAGAGCTGAGTAACGGCAAAGAGTAACAGCAAAGAAACAGCAGGTCGAGAGCTTCACCGAGGTCATGGCCCAGAGAGCTGTTTCACGCACAGAGCTCACGGGGTCAGAAGTCAAAGACAAGACCACTTGCGAGCATTGTCGGTCACCTCTCTACCTCCCTGTCAGATCCCTCAACATCACTTTCACACCTACCTCAGCAATGGAAGCAAGCCCCAAGATTGAAGCGATGCGAGCGCGAGGCTCAGGGCTGCAAGCTTGAGCAGACAAGAGAGAGATGGCACGTCTGTCACCCCTCAAGCAGAGATCAACGAGCGCCTCTTGGATCACTAGTACAAGCTCGAGGTGCCCGACATCGCCTAGCGCGATGAGCGATTCAACCACCGACGAGCTTCCTCGCAGCGAGATTCGCGGAATCACTTTGATTGCTGACACCCGACACTGTAGGAGTTGACTGCTCTTGGCGATCGCCAGCACCTTGGAGATGACGTCTTGATCCCCTCGAGCAGCCACGAGGCTCAAAGCCTCAGCTGCAGCGTCTCTGGTGCCATCGTGCTCGCTGGCGAGTAGCGGAAGGATGATCCCGATGGCTTCCTTGTCTCCTCTCTCGCAGATCTTCCCTAACGCCTCAACCGCTGCCCCTCGCACGTACTGCTCAGGGTGTTCGAGGCAAGAGCAGACCACTTGGATTGCAGCTCGGCTACCGCGATCTACCAGCCCTCTCTTCGCCTTGATCAGTACCTGCATTCTCTTGCCCTGAAGAGGATAACCCACTTCTGAGGACGGCTGGAAGAGCTCATCATGGTTCCCCTGCCTTCTTCTTTCCTTAGGCGTTTCGCTGGCTGAATCTTTCGCACCCTGCAACAACCGCAACTGAGTGCCATAGGTCTTCATGCTCAGCTGCTCGTAGAGTTGTGACACGGAAAGCTGGCGCGGGCCAGTAGACTCGCTGGGCGGCCTACAGAGGCAAGAGCGAACTTTGAGCCCGCACTCGAAGCATGGCCTGTCCATCCAGACCAGCTCTGCGCATCGCTGAGCTGCTTCCTCAAGGTCGCACTCTGGTGGAGATTGTTGGGCATGGGGCGAGAAGATCATAAGGAGAAGGAGAGAAGAATAAATGAGGAGGAGGAGGAGGAGGAGGAGGAGGAGGAGGAGGAGGGCAGGAGATCAGCAGACACGATCGACATTTCCATCACCGGTTTCAAAATGTTGAAAAATTTTGACTTGAGTACTGAAAACCCGGATTGGACAGAGTCGAGGCCCGCCGCCCCCGACGGCGCTGCCGGCGTCAGCTTCCGGGGTCGCATCTTTACTCAAAGTTAAGTTAAAGATCATAGTCGGGGATACACCCAGTACGCCGCTATCGCTCGATTCCTCGCTTCCTCCTGACGGAATACTGATGGAACGTATGCCAGCCGTGCCAGTCAGATAGCGCAACAGGGTGATAGGATTTACAACAAGCAGCAGGAGCATGCAGGAGGAAGAAAATCCCTTAGACGCGATACCCGGAGGCAGCCGACTGACCACTGTCAGTCCGACGAGACGTCCGCTGCCGCCACAAAGCGGGCGGCCGCGGACGAAGAAAGGGCAGCCGCCGACAAGGAGCCGGCGTTGCCCGGGGGTCCGCCTGGGGCAGCGGACGGAGGGAGGCTGGACACATGAACACGGTACCGCTCGAGGTAGTCCTCCTCGCTAGCCTCCGAGTCAGCGGTAGCCGAGTCAGTGGTAGCCGTGACGGCGGCGACGCCGCGGCAATGCCCAAGGACCGGCGTGACCCGACCGATGCCGGGGAGGAAGCAGGCGAGCTCGGACCAGCAGCAAGCACCCCAGTGGTGTCGAGCTCTCCGGAGGCACCCGACGTCACAGTGAGGGACGGAGACGCCTCCGAGTCGCCAGCTCCGCGCCCATCGTCGGGGCCACTCGAAGGGTTTCCCCCATCGGGGTCGGAGACCTCCGGCGAAGACTCCTCGGGCGACTCGACAAAGTCCGAGGAAGGGCGATATCCACATCCCTGGAATCCGCGATCGAGGGTCCGAGCAGTACGAGGGCTTGATGGCGGACGTGACGTTGGTCCACCCTTACATTGGTAGCTCTGCCGACCTGACCAAGTGGGGGGAGGTCAACCTCGACGCCCTCCAAACATCGCGCTGCATATGCTACTCCTCCTCGAGCGTTCATCCCTCTTGCCATCTCGACGGACGGTACCCTGCATCCTGACACCCTCCGCTTCATCTGGTATTTGGCGGACATCATTGCTCAGCGCTCAATGCCTCTTGAGGATGCGGCGTTTGGTCGGCACTTCGTGCCTGATGACGGACCTGCTGCTGAGGTCTTGGCTCGCAAACGCGCCGCCACCTATCAGCGCCTCACCATGCAGCTTACGCTGGAAGCGCTCTTGTCTGGTGCGAGGCGCATGACGCCCTTGCGGGCGCAAGCACTTCTCGAGCCAGAGGACAGCTCCTCCTCGGACTTTGTCGAGTCGCCCGAGGAGTCTTCGCCGGAGGTCTCCGACTCCGATGGGGGACACCCTTCGAGTGGCGCCGACGATCGGCGCGGAGCTGGCGAGGCGTCTCCGTCCCTCACTGTGACGTCGGGTGCACAGCATAGGATTTACTGGCAGAAGGTAAAAAGTGCCTGAAGCAAAATAAAGCAGGAACAAGCTAAACCTCCAGGCACACAGTCCACAGCGAGAAGCTGCACAAACACACACAAAACACAAGCCCGAAAAGAACCAGCACTGCTGGCACCCAGACGCGGCAGCGCCAGCCCAAGCGCGAAGCCGCGCAGACAAGCAGCCTAAGGACGGTCAGGCAATTAAGCAACAAGCAGCAGGAGCATGCAGGAGGAAGAAAATCCCTTAGACGCGATACCCGGAGGCAGCCGACTGACCACTGTCAGTCGAGACGTCCGCTGCCGCCACAAAGCGGGCGGCCGCGGACGAAGAAAGGGCAGCCGCCGACAAGGCCCCGGCTGCTACCACAGATGCCGGGGGGCGTCCTGCTTTGCGCGCTCTCGTCGACTCGTCTCATGAGCACTTCATTCCTCCGCCTGCGCAGCGAAATGTGACCCCTCTTGTCATGCGCGTCTTCCCTCGCCATGTGCATGCTCGCGCTGCGCTGACCGATCAGCAGCGTGATATCCTCACCTTGCACAGCCGCAGGACACACTCGCTCAAGTCGCAGGATAGGGTCTTGCAGTCTACCATCTTCGCTCATTTTCCTGAGCGAGACCTGAGCCACTCTCCGATGCGAGTCTCGAGCTACTACCCTGTTAGGAAAACTTCCTACAAGTATCTCTCGATCCAGTGTTGACACACGAAGTGATCCCGTCAAGAAACCAAAGAACAAGCGCGCGACAGCAATGCACAATTCAACGGCAATTTACTCCAAATCAACGTTAGAGATAAAGAAAAGTAAGTAATCTAATTTCCTAAGAAACGAGACTGCCTAGGACACCTACTTAAGAAAGACAGGAAGTCAGCAAACATATCCTATCATTTCGCTCCCTAGCGCTGATGGATGAGAACACACTTCTCAGCTCCAACTTCGCTGCAAACACCAAGAATCATTTAGCATTCACAAGATTGAAATCACGAATCATTTTCCTCAACTCTGGAGTGCGAAATTCACGCGTAGACAACCAAGAATCATCCGACGACTTGTCATAGTCCTTTCCAACGAACCAGGTACTGCACACGATTACCTTTCCCACGACGAGCCAAAATACGATCGACTTCAAAATACTGTCCATCGCGTTGAACCAAAGGCAACGGTGGTGGTTCAATTTCATCCAGAGAAACATCTCGAAAATAGTAAGGACGAAGTTTCGCCACGTTGAAAACTGTTTTCTTCATATGCTGAAAACGCGGTGTAAACTCCAAGCGCACAGAGTTATCTGAAACTTTCTCTTGTATCTCGAAAGGCCCAATGAAACGAATTTTCATCTTGCCCATGGACTCATGCAACTTCAAATCGCGCGTCGACAACATAACGAAGTCGCCAACATTGAATTGTAGATCCTTTCGAGATTTCTTCATAGTCTTCTCCTTCTGAATCGCTGACAACGTTAACGCATCGCGAGCCAAGTCGACGGCCGCCATGATCTTGTCACGTACCTCTTCCACGTCCTCAGCACGATCGTCAGGAGTCAGGTCCAAAACTGTACGAACATCTCTGCCATAGATGATCTCAAACGGCGTAAGATTCGTCGCATCTCTAACGGTCGTATTCCAAATTGTCTCCAGATGTACGAGATAATCATCCCAAGACTTGCTATCGTGTCGCATGCAGAAGATCCGCAAGGCTTCAACTATGACACTGTTGAACTTCTCAACTCGTCCCTGCGACTGCGGATGATAAACGCTGCTATGGCGTATGTCGATTCCCATGAGAGTGAACAACTCAGTCCAAAATTCTGAAGAAAATAAACTCCCGTTGTCCGAGACCAACGTTTTGCAAATCCCTTGAGCACGATAAACCGTCTCGAAATACGCACGAGCTGCTCCTTTCGATGTGATCGTCTTCTTACACGGATACAAGAACACCCTGTTGGAAAACTGATCGAGAAACACCAAGACACTGTCGTTTCCCCGCTTCGAGGTGGGCAGCGCTGTAAGCAAATCCACTGAAATCTTCTCGAATCGCTCACGCGGAACCAAATGACTGTGCGGTTCGCCAGCCGCTCGTTGCTTGTAACTCTTGCCTTGCAAGCACTCCGCACACGAGTTGACATAGTTCGCGACGTCCTTACTCATGGTCGGCCAGAAGGCAATTTGCGACGCCTTCAAGAAAGTCTTCGTCTTCCCTACATGGCAAGAATCGTCATGAATCAGACGCAAGAACTTCGCTCGAGAATGATAAGGAATACACACACGTTCCCGACCCAGCGAGTCCTTCCAAAACAAGACTCCGTCTCGCAGAAAATAAGTTCGACGCTGCATTGGGACCAGGTTTCCCTGTTGAATGTCCTGGAGAACCTGCGCGAAATATCTGTCCTGCTGATAATTTTTGACGACATCAGCTGTAAATGCGTTGTCTGTTGCTAGAGCGTAGCAGTGCGTAACAACCTCTGCATCACTGTCAGTCACCTCCATCACCTCCCCCTCCCCAGAGGACGAGATGGTACAAAGCAAGGTAGGATCCAAGTTGACCAAATCAGCACGCTGTCGAATCTCATCGTCTAACGCACTCTGTGACGGCACAACCGTAGAATCGTTCGGACGAGATAGGTAGTCAGCGATGACATTCTCTTCTCCAGGAATGTAGGAGATTTCATCCAAATCGAAATCAGCAAGAATTTGACTCCATCGAAACAATCGACCCGTGAGGTTGCTCTGCGTGAGAAGATACTTGAGACTCTTGTGATCTGTACGAACCAACACCCTGCGTCCGTACAAGTAAAACTTGAAATGAACCAATGCTGAAATCAATCCCAGAAGCTCTTTCTCGCGCACTGAATAATTTACCTCGGCACTGTTGAGACGCTTGCTGAAGAAGGCGACAGGCAACAGATCTTCGCCATGCTGTTGTGTCAAGACAGCACCAATGGCGTAGTCGCTCGCATCGACCAACACGCAAGTAGCTAACGCTGGGTTGAAGTACCTTAAAACAGGGGCTGATATCAAACGCTTCTTCAGCTCCTGAAAGGCCGCCTCTTGCGCGTCATCCCAACAAAACTTCACATTCTTACGTAGAAGATTCGTTAGCGGAAGTGCTAACGCTGCGTAATCCGGCACATACTTCCTGTAAAAGTTCAACACTCCCAAAAACGACTTGAGTTCCTTCGTTGTTTGCGGCGCCGAACGATCCACAATCGCTTGTACCTTTTTCTCTTGTGTCGAGACGCCTGCCTCGCTGATGTGGAAACCGAGGAAATCAATTTCAGAGTGAAACAGCTTACATTTCGACTTCTTGACAAACAACTGCTCTTTACGAAATCGATCCAGAGCCTGTCAAAGCAAACGCTCATGTCTCTCCAAGCTCCCATAACTGATCAAGCAAACATCGTCGATATAGCTCAGGCAATTCTCGAGACCTTGAAGAACACTCTCGAGAAATTTCTGAAATTGATTTGCCGAATCTACCAAGCCGAAAGGAATCCTCCGATACTGATATTTCCCAAACTTCGTGATGAAACAGGTGTACTTCCTCGACGCGGCGTCCAACTCAAGTTGCCAAAAACTTTTCGCCAGGTCGAGTGAGCTGATCCACAACCGTGCCCATGATCTTTCGACCCACTCGTTCTATCAGCTCCATCACCAACGGCAATGGAAAGTTATCATTCCGGATCAAGCTGTTAACGAACCTCATATCAGTGCAAAAACGCAATGTACCATCAGACTTTTTTGTGAAGATTACGGGAGACGTAAACTCAGACGTCGAAGGTTCAATGATCCCACGCTCCAACAAGAAGGCAAGATTCGCTTTCAACTCCTCCTCCAACGCGAGTGGCACAGGGTAAGGTTTCTTTTGCACCGCCTCAACGTTATCCTTGAGTCGAATCGTCGCCTTGAAGGACCGGTCAAGAACAACGTCGCTGGGAATGTCATCACGAATGACATCCGAATAATCTTCCATGATCGTCTCGGCAGCCTTCTGCTCGAGACTCGTGGCACCATCTGTCGGCTGAGCCATCTCCAACAGGTTGCACAAATGTACCACGTACCATTCCGAATCGTTCTGCTTGACTGAGGTCTCTCACTGCCTCAGTGTAAGAAAGTACCTGACACAGCGAGGCGTCCGCAGCCCCAAATTGCTTGTTTGTCGGGCAAACAAGTAACGGAAGCTCGACCATCTTCTTGCGCCACTTGGCAAAGACTCTGGGGTGACCCGCATCAATCACGATCTTGTTCGCACGCATCCATTCCCATGAGAGGATCATGTCCGCATGCGGCAAGTCAAGCATGTAGAACGACCCACTACTCTTGAAACTGGAGCCTACGCCCAATTTTGTCTGGAAAACCATATCAGACAACCTACACGTCCCATCGGCCATGATAACTCGTTTGCGAACTTCTGCATCCGTGACCGACAGACCAAATTTGCGCACTGCCTTCGTGCTGATAAACGACTCTTCAGCAGCTGTATCGAGCAATGCATTAAGAACTATGGATTGATTCCCGAACCGAAAGGTCACAGGTACCATAGGTAGAGCTTTGATCCTGTGAGAGTCAACGGTGATACGACATTGACGAACATCCCTAGGATCTTCTGTCGGAGGTGTGCCCGGGTCGAAGACAACATTCGAAGTCTGCAAACCCGTGCCCCCGTCGATTGCGCCCTCCGCGGCAACCGACGTCACTGGTTTAAAGCTGACGGTTGTTCAGACCTCGACAAGAGAGGGCACTTGTCTCTGAAGTGACCGAACTTCTGACAGTTGTAGCACTTCACCTTCTTCTTGTCGAACTTCTTCTCCTTGCCCTGCATGTCCTCGCTCTGAGTAGGAGCCGACCGCTTGCCCTCATGACGAGGTTGTGCTTGGGTGAAATGAAGACTCGTCTGACCGTCTTGTGGGTGTCTCTGACGCAGATTAAGAGCTTCGCGATACAACTGCGGCAAATACTTGCCCATCTCCGACGGCTCCGCATGATAAGTAATCCCAAACGTCTTACCATCGCGTTCCATCAGCATGCTCAATTCCTTCCGTAGCATGGCACGCGCATAGTCCATTTGAATCCCATCGACAAAGGCGCGTTCCCAGCTACCTAGCGCAACACTAGGTCTCTTGGACACAAGGTAGCACGCCTGCAGGTGTGTAACCATCGCCTGGAATCTTGCGGTGTACGCCTCAACGGACTCCTTGGGCCCTTGCCTAGCCTGCTTCTGCACATGACGCTCAAGTTTCTCAATAAACTCGAATGGTAACCATTTCAACAACAGTTTCTCCACAAACTGTTCCCAATCACCATGCTCAGCAGAGAACTGATCTTGCTCAGCCATCGGGAGTGTGGCCCACCATAGCTGCACCTCCGGCCCGAACGCGGAGATGGCCGCTCCTACCCATCGATGGCGTGCTATACGGTGAAATTTACACCTGCCTTCGATATATCCGAGCCATGAGACCACCGACCTCTCCATGGTCTGCTCACCATTGTACTGCAACAATGACTTCGGATCCAGCTTGCAAATCTGACCACCGTCATTCTCGGCGCGCGCATGCTTAAGCTTGTGAGGCTTGTCCTCGGGTTCCCGAACCCGCTCACAAAGCAGTACACGCATCTCCGCTGCCTCCTTGGCAAGCCTACGGTTCTCTCGCTGGGATTCCTCAAGTGCCCTCACAAGATCCTGGAGTTTGCGATCAGCTATTGTGCATC